CGGCGGCGGCTGCCGGTGCGGGCCGGGGGTGGGGGCGAGGGCCGGGCGCCCCCCCCGCGCGCCCCCAGCGCCCCCGCCCCCCCGGCCTGAGCGGGGCGGGCGGAGGAGGGAGCGGCGGCGGCGGCGGCGGCGGCGGCAGCGGCGGCGGCGGCAGCGGCATTGTGCGCGCACCAGCAGCCCGGCCCGGGAGGAGCAGGACGCGCCGGGGCCGCCTCCTCCCGCACGGACCCATGAACCAGCCGGGCGGCGCGGCGGCTCCGCAGGTACAACGGGGGGCCGGGGGCATGCACCGCGCGGGGGACCCCGGGGGGCCGGGGCCCGGGGCGCTGCGCCACTTCATTGCAAGATTTGCAAAATGCAAAGTGCCTGGGCACGTTTGCGGGCTTTTTGTGGGCGCAAACCGGGGGGTCGGGGTCTGGGGAGCCCCCCCCGGGCGCCGCGGGGCGTGAGGAGGCTGGGGGTGACGCGGGGGTCTCTTCGGGCCCCCACCCAGCGCCCCCTCCAGCCCCGGGCTCGGACCGGAGCCCAGAAAACAAAGCGGCGAGAGAACAGAGCAGCCATTTCAGTTTGGACAATTCACATTTTGCAAAAATGCAACCCCTTCCAGCTCTCCCCCCCTCCCCCCCAAATTTGCAATTTCCCCATGACCCCCTCTGCGCTCGGGGTTCCTGATGACCCCCCGGGAGGTCTTTCCCCTCTGGCCCCCCCATCTTTGCAACAATCTTTTTTTTTTTAGGCCATATTTCCCTTTCTCAATTTTTTTTTCTAATTTTTCTTCAAACGGTAGTTTTTTCCCATTAAAACGACGCCACCTAGAGGATACTATTTTGTAAATAAAAAAAAAATTAAAATTGAAAAGAAATATTTTTTATTTCTTATTTTTTCAAAAGTTTGCACTATAAGGCAGTGGAGGGGGGAAGGATTCTTTTTTTTTCTTTTTTGGGGTGAAAATTTTCACTTTGATCTTTCTGGGAGCATGGAGACAATTTTTATTTCTGAAGCCAAATCCAGATAATATGTAAATGAAAATTAAGCTGGAATTTGAATGAATTCAGTTTTTGAGGGGGAAAAAGCAGAAAGCCTCCTAAAACCGAAATCAGTTTGGCTTCCTAACTCATTTTAGTTTGACAAAAAAACTAATTGGAATGAGGAAAGAAGGGAAATTGTTGAGTTTAGAGAAAACTGGAGAATTGGCTTTATGAAGCAATTAGAAATTGTACTTCATTGTAATTTGGAACTTGTTTAGCCCAGCGGGCAGAAAAGGCTAATTTAACCATTTGGCAATATTTAAAGTTTTTCTGTTTTCAAGACGGAAGGATTTAAAAGAGAAAATAGATCCTAAAATGTTGGCTTTGGACACACCCAAAAATTGTAGTTTTTTTTTTTTCTTCTAATTTTGCATGTACATTTTACTGCATTTAAATCCCAAGGTTCTAAAGAAAAACAGAAACTGAAAAAGTTAGAGTGAAATTCTGTGTTTTTCCCCTGCATTTGTTGGGTTTTGTGTTTTTTTTTTGTTTTTGTTTTTGTTTTGTTTTTTTGTTTTGATGAGATAATTAAGACTGTTTTCTGATTTTGTTTCCTGAAAGGTCTAGGTATTTCTTTTTTTGTTGTTTTATCCATAAAATGTCGGGAACCTTTTTTGAGCAATATTCAATGAAAAGAATGTAAATTCATTACATTATACAAATTGAGTAGCCCACAGATTTGTAGGAGAGACCGCCATTAAAATAAGATATGCATAATTAACATTATTATGAAAAAACTAACAGTGGCTTCACAGAAGCTCATTTTTTATGACATGCAACTGAATCAGTTGATAAAGACAAGGGTTGAAGAATCCTTGGTAGGAGAGAATTTTCCCTTCTCTGTGCTTGCTTACTCTTCCAGTTTGAAAAATTTATTATTTAAAAAAAAATCCAGATTGGTTTTAGGCCTCTTTGATTGTGATGTGGGGTTGGTAGTTCATTAGCATTTGGTATTTTTCACAAATTTGATTACTTTCATAGGGAAAAAGAAAATCCATTTGCTTTGATCATTTTGGGGGGGGTCTGTGATATTAAAAAAACACAAATTTTACTGACCTAAGAAGGAAAGATAAAAGAAGAGAGGACAGAGAGGAGATGAAAATTCTGATTCTTATCCATCTTCTCTAGTGGAACACTTAAGTTTGCTGAAAAAATGGGGTAAAACACCAGTTCGGCTGATTCTAGCATCAAAATTTAATTTTTTTAAAGGAAAAAAATTAAAATAGACACAAAGCCAAACCCAGAGGTACTTGCCTTTGGAACATGAAAGCACAAATGCAGACAGTATTTGACGTAGTTTCTTGGGATTAAAATGAAATCAAATGAAGGTGAAAACAAAACAAAACAAAAAATTATTTTTAGAGGACAAATACTGACTGAATTGAAATTTGACAGAGGAAAATAAGATAACCCACCCAGAGCTGAAGGGTTATTTGTGATGAATTAGTTTCTGGTTGAACTTGATGGAGATTTTGAAACAACAACCCCCCCCCCCCAAAAAAAAAGTTTTAATTTTTCTGTTCAGAGGAGGGGGGGAGTACTGTTAGTATTGGAGGGTGGGATCTTGGTGGGACCTTGTGTGGGGGTTGATGTAGGTCACACAGGGCTAGGACGGGAAACCCTGTGTCCCTTTCGCTAGCTACCAGCTGGTCTTGGAAAAAATGGTGGCCCCAGTTCATGGATTCCCACCCCATTTTGTGGATTCAAATTTCTGAGGGGATGCGAATTCTGTGAAATATATTTGACCATGGCAGAGGTTCAACATTTCCCATCATCACCATTGCATTTGGGAGATTTTATTTTTTTAGTAACGAAATCCTTCAGGGCTGACTGGCCACATTCTGACATATTTGGAATGAGTTTTTTTTTTTTTTTTTAAGTAACATAATTAAAAAAATTTTTTTTTTCTGTTGAATTATTTAGGCCGATGCCTAGGACGGTCAGAGAATTCGTAATTTCCAAGGGCTTGGGAGGCCTCATGAGACAGTCCTGAGTTAGCAAGTGATGGAGGGGAGCTCTGCCCTGGGTTGGGGAAGGGGAGGTGGGCACCCCTACTGGGCATCTGAGAAAAAGGATTGTAGATAACAGGTTATTTCTGGTGCAAGAATTAAAAATATGGCAGCACGTCCCTTTGTGTGTCCTGGGTCTCCTGACACACAACTCAGATTCCTTCAATTCCATTCTGCTGAAATTTTGTTGTGTTGTCTGTGGTTTCAAGGGAACCCCTGGCGAGGAATTGAAAATCATTTCTGTTTTGTAGACTTGTTTTTTTCCGTTTATTTAAAAAAAAAAAATTGGTTATTCTAATCATGTTTGTTGTAAAGGAAATAGAGGTGCATGATGGTACTGTTGGGGGCGGGGTCAGTTCTCTTTTGTTTCTATTGGCGTCTCCCAGGACTGAGATCCGACCTAGGCCTTGGCCTCTCTCACCTCCTATTTTAGACGGAAGTGTGACCAGAAATGGATATATGAGCTCATTTTTATTAGCCTATGTCTGTTCACCAAACTCTCTTATAATATTGGGCAAAAAATCTGGGAAATTGGACTTGAGGGGTGGTAATTTGATGATGGGCTGAGTTATTTTGGTGAAAGATCATTTATACTGTTTCACAGTAGAGACTCTTATTACTTAATGTTTTGCTTTTCTGCCTAAGGAGGGTTTGTTTTTTTTCTTTTTCTAATAAGGTTTGAAATTTCAAGGGCCTGCTTTATAGCTTGACTTTGGACCAAGCTAGGAAAAAGGGTTTGCTTATGCTTTCAGCCCTGCACAGAGGTGAACTTGAACAAGGGTTCTTGCTTTGCAGAAGAAAGGCAACAAAGATGGCTGGTCAGCATAAGGCTGACCTCTCCCTGGTTCTAGAAAATAAACGGCCAATGGTTTGTTTCATTTGAGAAACAGTTTGAAAAACTCCTCCATTGTTGCATACAATTCCCCCCCCAAACCCAACCTTTGACTCAGCTCTTGGCATGCTGCTACCTCTGACCTCAGAATCCTCCTGTCTTCTCCTTGGTGGGGTGATAAGAACTTCCCCTGCCATGTTTTACTAGATGTATATGCTGACTCTTCGTGGTTGTGGTGAAAATTTAAATTTTTTCCATGCTCTTGTTATGTTTGGGGTCAGTTGTGTCTCCTTCTTGGTGATTTAAGTGAAGTGGCTTTGTGGGTCCACAGGAGTCCTAGTTTACCCAAGGTCTTCCTGTATTACCTTGGGCAAATCACTTTTTCCTTTCGAGCCTCAGTTTTTGAGAGATTTGGATCAGGACATTAATAAATAGGTTTCATCTCTGATTCTGACTTCAAGTGATTGGCTGTATCTACCGAGACATTGTGTTGAGAAGGATTCTGAAGTCACACCTGGAAGCCCAGATTCTGGGCGCGGGGAGGCGGGTGGTGGTGGTGGGCAGCGTGGATCACAGAGGGAGGACTACACTTCTTATTCGCCATACCCAGGGCTAGGTTGCGAATTGTGACCACTGCAAAATCAATTTAGTGGCTCGCGGTCAGCGTAAAAAAAGAAAAAAGAACGGACTAGAACATAGGACACGAAAATAGCAGAGGCATAGCACATATGAAAGGTAAGTGTCGTCTCATGAAACTTTTGTTTTATTTCCATTTGCCAGTCCATGTGCAATGTGCATGACATACCTACTGTGAGCCATGCTTTAAGGAGTTGGCAAGATACTGGACTGATGACCCACCTTGATGTGCTGCAAATACCCTGCACCTTCCCACTTCGTCTCTTCTTTTCTCACTTATTATCCCAGTTGACTTTGACGTGAACCCTGTGGAGTAGGTGTCCTGTGCTACATGGTTTGTCCCCTGGCGGAGCCTGCCTTTCGGGCCACCTGGGAAGAAGTTTCAGCAGCATGGTGGTTGGGCGCGCACCCCAGCTTGTTGGCCTTGGGGAAGCCTGGAAAGACAGGTGTGGAGGCGAAAGCAGCCAGAAAGGAGATTTTCTAAGAAGCCTGCAATGCCTGTCTCGGTGGGAGAGTGAGCGGCCTCACTTAACTTTGTCTTCCTCACTTTACTTGACATTGCCGTAGGAGTTTTTCAGGAGTTCCAGCCTTTGTGTTTGAGCTGTATTTAAATTTTAGTCGGACTCTGCGAGTGTCTGTATTTTGGTGTATGCGCTTCCTGAAAACTCCCGAGTTTCTCTTTGTCTCCTCATCCGTGCCATGTCTCAGAGTGGCAGTGCCCGGTAGAAATAGAATTTGAGTCACAGATGGAGCCATAC